GTCCCCGCCCGCGTCCCCCGCCCTGCTCCCGGCGGAGTCCCGGCTCACCCCGCGGATGTCCCAGTAACCCAGTATCATGGGCATGGTGCTCGGGTGCTGGACTGCGCAGATCGGCCTCGGCGGGGGTGAACGGTGACTTTATCCGGGAATCCAGGAAAAGGGAGGGTAGGCCCGCCCCTTCCTCCCGCGTGAACCCGCTGAGGCTCCACCTCCCCCTCCATCCCTCTCGGCTCCACCTCCGGGGTCCACCCCAAGTCTCCTCCAACCTTGATATGCAGAAGCGGGTCCCGAGGGCCCGCGGGCCGGCTCTTGGAACCCTGGAAGAGGCAGAAGGAAAAACTCCAAGGAGCCTCAGCCTGGATGGGCTAGGAGCCAGGTGTGGACATCTGAGATCCTAAGTCAGCGCCAGGCTCTCCTGATCCCCAGCCACCCCTGGCTGGGCTCCTGGGGCGCAGTCCATGCACTCCTCCTCCCAGGGCTATAAAGATCCTGTGTTTTGGTGAAGCTCAGGCTGCCAGAGTCCAGCTTAAAAGAGTCTCAGTCCCTATTATTGGAAAAACAAGACTGGCCAATCTGGAGGAAACTTCTAAAGTTTCCTATCTACAGAAACAGGCGTTCATGAACTAGGACCTAGGACAAAGGACAGATATGGGGAATATGTGGTCTCTGAGAAATTGAAGCACAAGCTCTGTGGGGGATCAGGTTATGATTATGCAAATTAGCTAGTAAACATTTTGGCCACATCTGTGAATCTAAATTAAAAAAAAAAAGAGGGTGAGGTGTCCTCACCCCCACACCCAAGCCCACTCTGCCATAGACTGAAGCAGCTAGCAGAAATGCACACTGACAGCAGAGTAGCCTTGGCTACAGAGCTCACAGCTGGATGGTGAGCTAGGATGGAGGATCTCTTAAGCTCCAAGGGGCTAGACATCTCTTCTGCTTTCCAAGGAAAGACAGGACACTGACAAGAGGGGTCCCTGGAGGATCCCACACAAGACAATAGATAGGCCAGGCTCATAGCCTTAGCTGTCTAGAGCCTTGGATTCTAGCCCTAGCCCTGGCCCAGGCCCCTGACCAATTGTGCTCTGGGTGTCACAGGAGGACTCAAATGGCCTTTAAAGCCACTCTGGGATCTGAGACCTCAGCAAGGGCAATATCCCAAAAGAATAGCCTCTTGCCTGCCAGCTTCCTTCCTTGAAGGCAGAAGACTATTTCAAAACCAAGAGGTATGCAATCAGTTGGCCTGGGGTTGACTTTGCCTTATGCCAAGCAACTTAGAAAACATAATAGCTAGAGAACAGATAATGGGACTTAAAAAAAGTAATGGGGACTGGTATTGGTGGCTCACACCTGTAATCTTAGCTATTCACCATTTGAAGCCAGTCCAGGCAGGAAAGTTTGTGGGATTCTTATCTCCAAGTAACGACATAAAGCCAAAAAATGTGGTTCAAGTGTTCTGTAGAGTGCTGGCCTGAGCAAAAATATTAAGGGACAGTGACAAGGCCCTGAATTCATTCAACCCCCACCCCGAGTACACACACAAACACACACACACACATACACACGTGCACACATACACAGAAATCGATGTCTAGCAATGCATCAACATAGAATGCAGAGACCTAGAAAAGCTGTTTCAATATAGTGTGCAGTGGTAAACACTGGCAGATACCTCTGTGTGACACACATATTTTGGTTTTCTTTTTCTAAATCTCAGTGAATAAGAGCCCTGCTAGGAATACAAATGCAAATTTCTGGACTTCCAAACCAAACACAACAGACAGGGAAAATAATCTGCCTGGGAAAAGGAAGGCAGACTCCTATCTGGGTACAGGTTGAACATGGGCCTGCCCCAAGCAGACACACCTGACTTCTACACTTTCCCTATGACTGCCAAATAGATTAAAATATGGAATATGCTTTCTTCCTGCTTGGGAAGTTCACTTGGGAAACTGAAAGAGGATCTGAAAGGTGGACAAGAGTCGGGTTCTTTAAGGATGTTGTAGGGTCTGATCCTAATCCAGTGAAACTTCTTTTGGTCAAGTACTTTTAGATAGGGCCCAAGAGGCCTACCACAAAAAAATCACTTTTTATTCTTCCAGTTGCCATGCAGACCTGTTTTGATCATATATTCAATGCAGGAGAGCTGCAGAGGGTCTAAACTTCTCATTGGGTTCCAAAGTTGATAGCTTAGGAGGAAAATGGAACAAGTGAGCACCTTTCTTTGGAGGCCCCTTAGAAAGTGTCTTGTTGGGGCCTGACACGTGGCCTTGTATTTATGCATTTTCCTTCAGCCTGGAAAATAAGGGGGAATGCGGGGAATGAGTTTACAAGGACAGGCTGTTATGAAATAGGAAATAACTGAGCTAATGCAATAGCTAATGCATTGTTAGGATTGCAGTGAATAAACTCAGTGTGTCAATAATGATTTGAACTTTCAGTGCAAAGGTTGGAGTAGGGGTGGAGGAGGCCAGCAGAGGTCATCTCATCCATCTTTCCCACACTGGGGACAAAGCCTGGCCACAAGGAAATAATTGCCCTTTGGGACAGTACTGGGGAGGAGGGGGTTGCTGGAGCAGGGGGTAGGATAGAGGCACAAGATCATTGTGCTCCAAAAAAAAAAAAAAATCACAGCAAAGGACTCTATGCTTGTATTTAGCACTGAGATGAGGAGGACGAAGGGAGGAGGAGGCTGAAATAATATAAAAGAGTTTGCTTATCAAAGTTTGCCTGAAAGAGGGGTGGGTAGAAGAAAGAGAAATATAAGGCTTTGCAGAAGAGATGGAAGTAGAAAGAAGAAGCAGAAGGAAGACCTGGGCAGCACTCCAGAGAGCCCAGCAAGAGCCCAAGCTCTGATGGGTCCTCCCTTTGCATCTGAGCATTGCAGAGTTCTATTTGTTGGACCACTGGGCCATCTATGAAAACATAGGTCTTGGGAGGAAGCAGCTGGTCTTAGTAGACAGAGATCTTCAGACCCTGTGAGTAGGGGCGACCAGGGCTCAGATCTGCTGCCCACTGAACCAGGCAGCTTCCCTGGAAGAGTAGCATTTTCACAGAGATCAAACACTGGCAGCAACCCAGGCTGCTTAGCCCTCCAACTCGAGGAGGCCACTCACTAGACACTGTGCTCTAGCTGCCCCAGGTACAGCAAAGGAGGCACAAAACTAGGCAAATAGCAAAGAGTGATTTATTAGCTAAGTGGGATTAATCCTCAGGGGATGAAATGGGCAGCTCAAATAAGGATTGATGGTATGGAAGCTGGCAAGGGCTGGTGCTTTATCTAAAAGGGTGGGATTTCACTGCTTTTCCCTATGTCCCTCCCCAAATGGTCTGGTCAGTATACAGAGGCTGCCTGGTGGGGAGTGGGGTGTTGTGAGAAGCTATAGCTTCTGCATTCAATCCTCTGTGCCCTTCATTACATGCCCAATCTTGATATGAGAGAGGCTTGTCACAAAGGTTATAGAAGGACCCTTCATTGTTGACTCAGGGTGTGGCCATCTGAGGCTTGTAGCCCATGGCTTCTACTCATAATGAGCTGGCAGGCAATGCCAACAACATGACATTGCATTTTCAAAGGTTCCACTCAGCTATTCTGCAAGAGCCGTCCTGCCAGCACCACTGAGGAGACTTCTCATTGAGGTCCACTGAGGTTAAAAGACTTCCACACAGCTAGTGACACTTTGTCACCTCCTGTGTGCACAGACATGCTCCTTCTCGCCCAGGTTCCACCCCATGACTTGGCAAATCCTAGATGAGAAGGGACACCAAGAACAAGACCTACAGAGAAAGGTTGGGCAGGCTTCTCATGAGAGAAGAAAGTCCAAATTTCCCCACCTGATACCCGAGTCCAATCTCACTGCAACCCAACCTACCTCATCCACAGCCCTGACACATCAACCAGACCATAGCCTTTCAGTTCTGTTGGGGGAGTACTTTTCAGGATACAGAGTACACAGATGATTCCAACGGGTTCAAGGGAGGTCCAGCACTATCTGTACACAATGAGCCAGGCCCAGTGGCCCAGAGTGCTGTGTTCTCTATTGTCCCCCACTTTTCCTCCCCATGCTCAAGGTAGCTTTGGTACAATGCCCAAGGCTATGTACCTGGACCAGAACCAGAGCTGATGAGACCTTGCTGAGAAAGCACATTGTTTGCAAGGGGAGGGGAGAAGAGATAGATTCCAGGCTAATAAACACATTAGACTATTGCCTCAAATTTCCAAATCTCTAGTAACATAGTTTTAACTGGTATCAAATAAATGAACTCTTGGTGACCCATGATTAGCTGTGAGATGAGGCTGAGGCTGATGGTGATATTGTGCGCATATCTTTGCATTGTGTCTTATACAGAGATGACAGTAGTGGTGGGAAACACAAGCTCGTTGGGCTTCTAAAGAAAATCACAGCAAAGGTCTGTGCTTGGATTTAGCATTCAGATTAGGAAGAAGAAGAGAGGAAGAGGCTGAACTAAAGTGGGAGAGTCTGACAGAGAAAAGGAGTGAAAAAGAAGTATAAGTCAGGCATTGGTGGCTCATACCTACAATTCTAGCTGCTCAGGAGGCTGAGAGCTTAAGATCGCAATTTAAAGCCAGCCTGGAAAGAAAAGTCATCCCAAGACTTATCTCCAATTAAGCAAAGCCAAAAGTGGTACTGAGATTTGAGTGGTTGAGCCTTAGCCTTAAGCCAAAAAGGTCAGGGACACAGTCCAGGCCCTGGGTTCAAGCCCTAGAAGTAGCACACACATACACACACACACACACACACACACACACACACACACACACACACACACACACACACAAAGAAAATACCTGGAGACTTATAGCCATACCATAGATGAGGCAAGAAGGATGCTAAACTAACTCTCTGCTGGGGACTCACTACACTGCATCTCTGCACCCTTCCCCATCATCCAGCCCAGCTATGGACATCAGAACAGAGAACCTCAACTTCATCAACACAATCAGCCCAGAAAAACACAGGCAGTAATTACAACAGGACTCGTGTAGCTCAGGCTTTACTAGGCAGGGAAGGGGTCACACAGGACTGGAGGCCCAGGCCTATGCACCAGGTAGAGTTATCTTTCAGGCAATGTTGGGACTAGGGTCAGTCAAGCTCCTCCAATCAAGACAGAGGTTGTCTGGTTGGATTCAAAGCCAGGACTACAATTGGAGAGTGGGATGACTTTGCTGAAGAAATGGAGATCTGAAGCTTACAGAGGCTCACTTGCAGGTGGGCCTGAGTAGAAAAAGGAGATTATAGGCATTGCGGAGAAGGGAGTAGAAGGAGGGAGAAAGGATGGAGAAGACTGAGATAGCCATGTGGGGAGCCAGGTGAGAGGGCCAAGGGTGTAGACAGATCCTCTTTTTGAGTCTTGTCATTATACAGTCCTATTTGTTTCCCCACTTGGCTAGTTTTAAAAATAGGGGTTTGGAGAGGAAGCGGCTCGTCTTCATGTATGCAGAAATCTCCAGTCCCTGCAAGTGGGAGAGAAAAGGCAGGAGCTTAGGTTTGCTGCCCATTGGGCAGGAGCAGCCGCATGCAGGGACATCTACTAGAGTTTAAAATACGATGCAGGAAGTCCACCCAACTTATCCGAAGGGAGCCTGAATGATCAGAGACACAAACTACACGCGTGTTTTCTCATCTGAAGAGGTGAGACCTAACTCACAAACATATACAAAAACATACAAGACAAACTAACTAAACATAAAATACTCAGGGGAGGCATTCCAATGATGTAATGTCTTTGAACAACTAAACAACAGCTTACCAAAATAAATAACTGAAGCATGCTTTATAGGGTCAAGAGCAGGGCAAAGGTGGTCAATTACAGATGAATGGCAAAAGAAAGGGTGAATACAGTCATTCTAGTCAATGTACATATGTGAAAATGGAACCAGGACATTTAAGGGGATGGGTAGGGTTTGGAAAGATGGGGGAGAATGATGGAAGGGGTGACATTGATGAAGATCTATTTGCTGAACGGAAACCCCTTTGTACAATTACTTAAATGGAATTTTACAATCGTAATAATAATAATAATAATGAGAAAAATAAGGGAGCCTGAGGGAGACAGAGGTTATGCAACATTCTCCTTGGTGAATTCTCCAATGGTGAAGAAGCCAGCCAGGGCTTCCAACAGCCAGGATTGGTCATTCTGTGTTCTCTCTGTGCTTTTGCCTTCTTCTCTCCTACACAAGGCCTGTCTGCACACACACATCCCTTTTTCACGTTGAAGCTCTTGACTTAGAATGAAAAGGAAGGAGGATCTGGCAGAACAGCAGGACAGAGAACTTGCTTGTGCAGCTCCTGAGTGAGCCCAGATCTCACCCAGTGACTCAGCAAACCCTGATGACCAGTGCAGAGGAAGAAGCCAAACCACAAAGAAAGCACTAGCTGCTACAACTACTAATCTAAATCAGAAAGCTGACTCTTCCTCGCCCAGCACCCCAGTGTAATCCCCATGTGCTTAATCCACCTCAACTGCTGTCCAGAGAGCACAAGTTGAATAGCAATGAGACACATGGGGGTCTTCCTCACAAGGATCATTTCTAAAGGCTTGCTAGACTCCCAGACTGTCAACAGGCTAGGCCCACTGAGGCTCAGGCTATACTGTCATGTGCTCCACCACTCCTGAGGCATCACAGCCCCCCAGAACCAAAACCAGAACACACAGACACACACAGACACACACACACACAGACACAGACACACGCACACACACTACATTGCTTCATAGAGAAAGGAAAGTTAAATTCTTGGCTAAAATAAGTGTTGCACTGATGCTTGCAACATCCAAATCTGGAGTCAAGTAGGTTTTCTGGTGTCAGACAAGTAGACAAGTAGAGTGGAGCATGATTATGAGATGAGGCCAACACTGGGCTCCTCAGCATCCACATAGAACCAAATGTGCAATACAAACTATTCTGGCCCCTTCTGCTATACTCAGTCCCAGGATGGGGGACATCTTTGCATTTCATATTGATGAAAATGGTAAAGTATAGAGAGTAAATGAATGGGGGGTGCCCATTCATTGCACAGAGAGGACACATGAGATGGGAAAGAGAGGGAAAAGAATGAGAGGGTGGGAACAAGATATGAAGCAATTTAAACAATCCAAAACAAATTCCTCCAACAGGGCAGCCAAAATTCTAGTCAATCCAATACCAACCACAGACCTGGGGTCTTTGACCCAGTAAAGCCTCCTGCTGCAAAGCAGGTGTGAATATTGTCTGTGTCTTGGTATTTCCCATCTATCCCAACTCATCTCACTCTCCCAGTACTACCTGCTCACACCTTGCTAACTCTTCCTCCTTCTGCACATGGTCCTGGGCAGAAAACCCAGGTTGCACAAGGTTTGAGGCTTATTCCTTTTGCTACAAAACATGGACAGCCACTGGCTGCGGCCTATAGACTAAGGTAGAGGCTCACAGGGAGCCCAACACAGCCTTTCCTGGCACTGGGACCTTGAATGAGTGATTCACCCCCTCTACAGCCTCAGGTTCCTAATCTGTCCATCCTGTAGGAATGCTATAATGATCAACTTGGCTCAATAGATATACGATGCTAAGCACAGGGGCTGGCAGAAAGCCAGTGTTCAGTAAACCCTAGTTATTCTTCACTCAGCTCCAGGACTACGGAGGCATCATAGAAAGGAGGAAGGGAAGAAATTCATCCATGAGGAAGGAGGATTGGGGGGTGTCACCTCAAAGCGGGACATGAAGTCCTTCAGGTTGGGGAATGCATCCAGGCACTTGGGTTCAAACATTCGGTGCATATCAAGGACATCATAAGCCGGGAAATCTACAAAGGTGATCTGCAGAGACAGAATGAGTGGGCTGAACTCTCATATAAAGTGGAACAATAGAAGAGTTCTCCTCCCTGTGGTCTTCCTCTTTACCTTGTCCCCTGCAAACCATGGCCGCTTCCCCAGGAACTGGGAGAAATGCTTCATCTTGTCAGCGAGGCCCTCCAAGAACTCAGGCTTCAGCTTCTCCTGAGGCAGAAAACAGCTGTTACCATCTTTTGATACAAGCACCACCCCTCCACAACAGGCCAGTCTCAGAGGGACTAAGGAGACCTCAGCCTGGCACAGGTGAACAGCCACTAGCCCTGAGACCATGTCTGCATCAGTGCCCAAGGCTCATCAGCCATTAGTGAACTACTGTTGGGAACCAGAACTCTACCACCAGAGTTGTTGGAAAGTGATGCAAGAACACAATTCTGTCCTTGCATTTGCAATAATGCCCCAAAGGTGATCCTGTAGACAGACACTTGTGGGGCAGACTCTACTGTCAAAAGTGTCATGGAGGGGCTGGGAAGGTGGCTCAGTGGTAGAGTGCTTGCCTTGCATGCCTGAGACCCTGGTTCGATTCCTCAGCACCACATAAGCAAAAAGAAAAAAGCCGGAAGTGGTGCTGTGGCTCAAGTGGTAGAGCGCTAGCCTTGCACTGAAGAGCTGAGGTACAGCGCCCAGGCCCAGAGTTCAGGCCCCACTACTGCCCCCCCCCCAAAAAAAAAGTGTCATGGAGGCCAAAGAGGTTACAAAATTGCTAACATAGTAGGAGAGAAGACAGATTTCTACCTATGGGGTGGTTGAAGAATAGAAATGGTATTTGATTGGTGGATGATGTAGAGGAATGTTTGATGTTGAAAGAAAGGAGGAAAAGGAAAAGAGATGCTAAAACTGACCATGAGCTGCCTCTTAACTAAAGGTCCTGATTCATACTGATGTCAGGAGCACACTGGCAGAGTTCAGAAGACCAGAGTACATAATGTCCTCTTATCGTTTATTTATTTCTCATGCATTCCATAAACAGATAGATGGTGAGAACCAATGGGAGAAGAAGCCCATGACAAAGGTCAAAGTTGGAGAGAATTCAAGCATATGAATTGACTAGATAGAAATGTCCAACCAGCATAATGGATTCACAGGGTTCATTTGATAAATTTGAGAAGAGGGGTGGGAAGTGGGAGTAAAATTACCTGTTGGGAGGGATCCATTTGTTGACAGGATAGGAAAACTTGGAAATTCAATACCAAAAATTAGGTTAAGCTGGTTGCTAATGGCTCACAGCTGTAATCATAACTACTCAGGAGACTAAGATTTGAGAATTGTGGTTCAAAGCCATCCAGGGAAGGAAAGTCTGTGAGACCCTTATCTCCAATTAATCACTGAAAAAACTGCAGGTGGCACTGTGGCTCAAGTGGTAGGGCACTAGCTTTGAGCAAAAAAGAACTCAGGGACAACACCCAAACCCAGAGTTCAAGCCGCAGGATCAGGGAGGAGAAAAAAAAGGCGGGGGGGGGGGGGGGGTGGAATGCTCAAAATATTGGTACATAGGTAAACATAGACTTTATACTTTACTCCTTCTCCTGTCCTTCCCTGTTCCAGCCCTACTGGGTACTCACAAAGTCGGGATTGTAGCAGAACATGCCAAACTGTACACGGAAGTCCCAAGTCTGGTTCTCCAAAATGTCCACACGAATCTTCTCCTCCTCTGTCTCCCCACCTGCAGCCAAATAGATGCATCCTCTCCATCCCACCCAGCCAAGCCCAAGGAATGGCCACTACCCAGCCCCTACACACCCACCCTGCTGCCAGCCCCACTCACACAGGTTGTGCTTGCGAGCAATGTAGCGCAGGATGGCTTTGCTCTGGGTGATTTTGTGAGCTCCGTCAATCAAGTAGGGCAGCTGGATGGACAAGCAGGGAAGGTCACAAGGGGCCTAGGCCCCAGCAGCCTTTCCCTGGGTTAGGACAGAGATAGGGTCTGGCTCTCAGTGTGCCCGGCCATGGTGATCCCTACATAAACACACTGCAGAATGAATGTAAGAGCTGGGACATAGAGCATCATAGAAACACTGCATAGACTAGAATGAGAGTCCAGGAATAACTGATCCTGAAACCTCTGAATCGAACATGGTGATGAGTAAGGAACACCTGGAGTTTCCCTAGACCAGCCCTTCCCCTGCACCTACATTAGGGAAGTCCAGGCCCAGCTTGAATTTCTCACTCAGCCACTGGCTTCTGTCATAGTCAGGAGCTGTAGTGGACAAGATCAAGAGTAAATAAACCTCCCTGGGTCCAGCCTTCTTTTCCCAGGACCCCCTGGGGCAGTGGGTCTAGTCCTGTAGGCCAATCCAATTACAAAGGGACCCAGCCCTCCACTCCCAGCTTCCTGCAACGGAATACCAAACTGCATAGTTGTGGAGTTTAGGAAGAGGCAGGCCCAGAGTGCAGGTGGAGGAGGCCTGTGGAGCTGAGCAACAGGTGGACATTGTATGGGTATCTGGGTTCCACTGGGCAGGGGTTGGACAAGGGTCTGATGAAGAGCTGTCCTTACCATCCCCCATCGTGTATGTCTTCTCCTCATAGCTTGAGTCTGTGTATTCCAGGAGCAGGCGGATGGCGTGAGCCAGCTGCGAGAGACAGGTCAGATAGAGAGCTATATAACTTCACTTCCTCCAGGTGGTTCAGCCTACACCTAACAATATACTCACATGTTCATGACGTATGGTACATATGGTACACAACACCACACACACACACACACACACACACACACACACACACACACACACACACACACTTGTGTAAGCACCAGAGTGCTGAGAGGTACAAGCAGAAAAATCCAGCAAGAATTGTTGGTGGGAGTGTAAACTTGTTCAACCACTTTGGAAAGTAGTATGGAGGTTCCTCAAAAGATTCCACATAGAGCTCCCCTATGACCCAGCAATCCCACTTTGGGGCATTTATCTAAATGATCACAAACAAGACCATACTAAAGCTACCAGCACAACTATGTTTATTGCAGCATTATTTACCATAGCTAAGATATGGAGCCAACCCAGATGCCCCTCAGTAGATGAATGGATCAAGAAAATGTGGTATATATACACAATGGAATTCTATGCCTCCATCAGAAAGAATGACATTGCCCCATTTGTTAGGAAATGGAAAGACTTGGAAAAAATTATATTAAGTGAAGTAAGGCAGGCCCAAAGAAACATAGCACCCCCCCCCCCCAGTTTCCCTTATTTGCAATAACTAGTATAAGTCTGAGACAAACAGAAACAGCCAGATAAGTTGATGTTAGGCAAAATGAACCCCAAGATAAGGACTCAAATGTTTTTTTTTTGGGGGGGTCCGGTCATGGGGCCTGAACTCTGGGCCTGGGCCTGTCCCTCAGCTCTTCAGCTCAAGGCTAGCGCTCTACCACTTGAGCCACAGTGCCACTTCCGGCTTTTTTTCTTTTTTGCTTATGTGGTGCTGAGGAATCGAACCCAGGGCCTCATGCATGCAAGGCAAGCGCTCTACCACCTAGCCACCTTCCCAGCCCCTCAAATTTTTTTTTTTCTTGTTTGCAATTGTTTCTAACACATTTATAAGATGATTTCTTTGTTGCTTTGTATGTCCCTCTCCCAGGATATAACCCCTGCTTTCACTGTATTTGATGTTGGTATAATTTGTGGAGAGGAAGGGAAGAAACAAATTGTTTAAATAAGGATACAGGTGGACCCATTGCAACAATGAGATGTACAAGACAGTTATGTGGAAAAACGAACTTTACAACTTTGGCATGGGAGGTAGGGGGAGGGGGGATATTAGGGGAGATGGGAAGGGATGGGAAAGGGAAACAAAGGAGGAGGTAACAATGCTTGATAAGAAATGTACTTGTTACCTTGCTCATGTAACTATAACCCCTGTACAGTATTTTCACAATAAAAAATAAATTTAAAAAAAAGAAAGAAAAATCCAGCAAGACATCAGAAGTTCTATGTTCTAGAATCCTCTCCTGGCAGCATTCTCATCAATTCATTCCCACCCTATCCTTGCACCCAATGCTCCTTGCTTACCCCACGGATGTCCCAGTAACCCAGTGTCACAGCCATAGTGCTCCAAGGGTACTGTGACTGAGCCTAGTGGTCTCAAAAAGCACAGGGCTGCGACTTTTTATTTCTGAGCAAGGCCAGGCAGGGCCCAGGACTCTGCTTCCTGGTCTGCCCCCCCCCATGCACCGCCCACCCCATGCTCCGCCCACCCCATTTGGCCTAGAAGCCTCTTGGCAAAGTCACCTGGAAAGGAGCCAGTATCTCTAAGGCAGGAGAGAGAAAGAATAGTGCTGTGTCACCCTCCAGGGTTCAGGAATCCAAGTGTGGGTTCCCAGGAACCCACCAGCCATCCTGTTCCCCAACCCCACCAGTGGACCCCTGTGCCCCTTGCTTGGGCAAGTTCTCAAGTGTAAATTTCAAGTTCATAGTGAAGGGTTATGAGGCAGCGACCATTTGTTGCTTGTTTAAACTAAACCGAAGATCAGCAAATTCTGTCTAGCAGAGCAACACGTGGTGATAATCCAAACACCTGGTTGGTTGTGTGCCTTAAAACCCTGCAAATCCTTAGCTCAGGGCCCTCCTCCTAGGCTCTGCTGTGTCAGAGTGTAGGATGAGGCCCGAGCTGTAGCCCATCTAAATAAAACTTTAAAACAGCTGTAAAGTCTGACTTTCAGTGGTCTTCTTGGTGGGGGTCCTGCAACCTGGGCACAACATATTAGTGGGGGCTTGCCCAGGATTTCCCCAAAGGCCCCCCAAGACCTCAGACTCCAAAGGTAAACAGCGCTGTCTTTGTTAATTTGTCTTGTCCTGTCGTTGTCTGTCTGTACTTTTGTTTTCCTTTGTGAGCACGGCTGCTCTGATTCATATTGTGTAAAGGGTTGTCGAAGCGGATGCGCTTGCATGACAACCCTGGAGGAACTGGGAGATGTCCCAGATCCTCTTGTGTGTGTGGGTGGGGAGTGTCCTTGGAACCCGGCCGTGTGAATTGTGGGGCGGGGGTCGGTTAGGTGTTGGGTTGGAACTGACCAAGAGGGTCTCCTAACTGAGGCCCAACTCGCCCACTGTGGGGTCCGCTCCTTCTGCTGTGGGGCGGGGGTGTGGAACCCTGCCGTGACAGGAGTCAGTGGACCAATTCGGGAGATCTCCACTTCATAACTGTCAGGCCTGGGTGTGTTTTGTTTGTACCGTTTATTGTTTTGGACTGTACGACTGACAGGACTGGAAACCATGGGCAACACTCCATCTAGCCCTCTAGACTTACAAAAAGAAACTGAGAAAGAGGAAAAGAAATTGTACCCCCCGTTTTTCAGGGTGATAACTTGGAAGAAGAAATGTTTCCTCCCCCATATTCCCCTTCCCAGGTTCCTTTTGTAGAACCTGAGAATGATCAAGAGGAGGAGGGAGCTATAGAACCAGCAGCCGAAACCTCGGCACCTGCCCTTAAAGTTTCTGAGGGGCCAGTCACTCGACAACGCCATTGGGATCAACCCCCCTTCTAACGCAGCTGTTTTTCCCTTACGCGCTATAGGTCCTGTGGATGCGGATGGTCAACAGCAACTCCAGTATTGGCCATTTTCTACCAGTGATCTATACAATTGGCACATCCAAAATGCCCCATTTTCTGAGGAATCCCAGGATTTAATTCGTTTGCTTGAAACTGTAAAGCCGAATTTGGAAATCCTTACCCAAAAGACCACCAGAGACCGTCACCAATGTAAAAGCAAAGGAGTCTTTATTGCAAGTTTGAGCTTGGTCCCCCCGCAAACACGGCAGCAGCCCATGACACTGAAAGGCCCCGAGCCCAGGGTTACAGCACTTTTTATACACTTTTTTTAGGGAAGGCAGGGGCTTTGCATACATCATAACTTCTTGTAACAAATGACTACAAACCGCGGGAAAATCATAAAACAACTCTATAGTATGACTGGCGCACTACAAAGCGCTAAAGGACCAGAAACAAGTTGTTGGTTAGATCAAGGGGGCTGACTTACTTTAAACTGGTTGGCTTGCACCACAGGGGAGTCTCAAGAGGATAGGTGCTAAACTGCTGGGTGTCTGGTTTAGATAATGGTCACCAGACCCCAGGAGGGGCTGTTCTGGGATTTCAGATATGGTAATTCCAGGCATTGGGGCTGAAGTGGGTAAAGGGTTAAGTTGCAGAACTGAAATGAGGGTCTTAAGTGAAATGGAGTTGCTTAAGTTCCTCATTCTCTTCTCTTGTAGCATCAGGGGCCAATCATGGTCCCATAATTGGCACAGTCTTTTATATTTACAGTTTGGTACTGGGATCTCAGAACTAATAGACGGATTGCACTGATCTTTTTCTTTTACAAAGGACACCAGTCTGTTGAGTATACAAGGTCCGATTGTGAGTAACAAAATTAACAGTACCAAAGGCCCTTACATTTTCTTCCACCAGTACTGACTCCGTATATCACAGCTAACTTAATTTTATACCAGCTGTACTTGTAAGCTCCAATTTTAAGACATACTCATACCGTTTGCTACTTAAACTTTCTGAGGTTTGTGGTCTTTACAAACATTTTAAGACAATCCTTTTTAAATCCTTTTTTATCCAGAGGAGACCACTTTTTCCTCAATTCCTTTCCCAAGGCTTTCTTTACTACCCTCCTCTTCTTTACAATTCCTTGAGCTTCTTTGTGGCTAGAGTTCAAAACTGCCCAATTTTCCTTTGGCTTGTGGAACCAAGTTATCTCAGAATGGCCTTAAGGCACCACTGGGATACAGAAGCTTGCTAGATTTTAAGGCTAAGAGTAAGGCTGGGTCTCAAAAAAAAATCTCTCTTTTATCTTTAACCCACACCTGGGAGGAAGCAGATTATTACCAAACCAGAGCCAAACTAGGCTGTGACCCTGAAGTGCCTAAGGCAGGCCAGTGGATATCCTTGCCCCCAATATTCACTGTGGGAGTAGAGAGGGTTTCTGGATATCACCAAAAGAATGTCCCACAAGATCTTAGTTTTAGCAGCTTTCAACGGGGAAGCAGTTTCAGGTGATGGAATCAGGCAGGAGTTCAGTCTTTTACCACGGTGAAGGTGGGTCTTGGTGATGATGTAGATTTCCTCCAGGTGATTATCAGGCTGTCCTTGAGCTTTACCCATTAGGGTGTGCAGCTGCAGCTGCTGCAGCAGCAGGGTCTCTCAGTGGCTCCAAGGGACTGTCACACCTCATGCTGGGCTGCAAATTCCTACACAGACTGGTTAAGGATACAAGTAATACATAGGCTTGGCAGGCTATGACCCCACTAGTTTTCTTTTCTTTTTCTTTTCTTTTTCACTAGACAAGTATTTTCACCTTTATTTTGATAGTTGGTCCTCTTTTACACTACAGGATATTCTTGGGAAAATGTGCTCCAGGCTGACCACAACTGCAGAATATTGTGGTTTGATCTGTCATAAGAGAAGGAAAGAAGGGGAACCTGTTTTATGGTGGTGAGTTGAAAATGAACATTTTTCACAGTCAACCTTGAAAAGCAATCTTTTTTTTTTTTTTCAAGACTATTTAGACAATAGCCCAGGACAATTTACCAAGATGACAACTTTTTAAACTAGATAGTTCTTTTAATAAGGCTAGGATTTTTTAGGCAGACATAGAGGGCTCAGGCCTGCACTACTATTTTCCATGCCTTTTCCTTCTGTCTATTTTGCCACATTTTTTTTAAAGTGACTCTGGTCCCTTGTTCTTAAAAGGGGAAGATGGGTGAAGATTCATCTTCTGTAACTTCTTCAAGCTGACTCAGGGGTGTTGATCCTACCTAGCCAGGAACCTATATAACCCTAGCCTATTTTACAAAGAGGTTAGGGTTAAATGTCATTAAGGACAATATTTTAACTTTTGACAAATGCACAAACCTTTTCTCTGGCTACAGCAGTATAGCTTGTTTAGCACTCTGGTTTGCAAAACCATCTTTCTGGATGGCTTGGGAATGTGATCTCTAATGATGCTAACAATGCCTGAGTTACCTATATAGGCCTTCAGGCAGATATCAGTAGAAACACACTCTCAGGTTTACAAACTTTTTTCCTGAGCAGATGAATTTCGTGTAGCTGGTGTCAGCTCAAAAGTTACTGTCAACAAAAAAAAAAGAAAAGAAAAAAAAAAAGTTAGTGCCAATTAGAATTTTTGGCACATATAAGGGTTGGGATTTAAACTATCCCCCACATTTTATAACTTTAGCTTTTTACTACTATCACAGAGGATGGTAAGGTCCTGTCCCTTACAAGGTAGATAGTCATGGACATTAGTCATGCTTACAAACTATCTTTTCATGACCTCCTGGCTATGACCAATTCTTGAAGGACCATGCACAAATAACTCTAAGATCTGACATTTCTGCCATCCAAGCAGTGGCTTACTGCCTCTGGATGCTCCTCCATTGCTCTTGTCCCAGGAGTGTCTTCTCAACACTGGGATAAATGCCTCATTGGCATTTCCCTTAGCTGGTCGCTGGACTTGAACTCGGGCCTGAGCACTGTCCCTCAGCTCTCCAGCTCAAGGCTAGCACTCTGCCACTTTGAGTTCCAAAGCATCTCTGCTTGCTCTTTCAGCACTCTGCTGGCTGAGTAGAGGTGACAGTCTCACAGGGACCTTTTTCTGCCCGGGCTGGCTTTGAACCAGTTTGCAGATCAATGAGTCTTATAAAAGGCCACTTTACTCCAATTAAAAGCAACAAGGTGGTCAACATAGAAGTAGCTTTTAAGCATGATCTTACCTGAAACTTATTAAGAGCCAAAGTTACATCTGACAAACTTGTAAGAATCCTCTGTGCTTTGCTCTGGGCTTGCTGGAAACTGTTAAAAGAAAAAAACCTGTAAGAGCAAACTGGAATAGCAATTATTTTGGTAATCCTAATTTTTTCTTTGTGTACTGAGGCAAATGCTAAGAACAATTTTACTCTTGAACTTTTTTTTTTTTTAGGGTCCAGTCGTGGGGCCTGAACTCTGGATCTGGGCGCTGTCCCTCAGCTCTTCAGCTCAAGGCTAACGCTCTACCACTTGAGCCATAGCTCCACTTCTGGCTTTTTTCTTTTTGCTTATGTGGTAATGAGGAATTGAACCCAGGGTCTCATGCATGCAAGGCAAGCGCTCTACCACTGAGCCACCTTCCCAGCCCAAA